AAGGACGTCTCTCCAGCAGAGACCTCAAGACACTATTTTTAGCAAACTCTAGGGTGTCCTCACTGCTCCTTGCTCACCCGTTATTCCAGTGATTTACCAAGCAACATGGTGGGGCAGCATCCTTATCTAGAATCTTTTCCGCCCAATGGCTTGTTCGACACCAAAGCAAACATTATCTCCTCTGATCTTCACCATAAACCTAAGCAGGAGGCAGAGTCCGGATCTCCCCGTTCACAAATGAGGAAGCAGGTGAAGTGGCTTTTGCTGGGGGATCACAGAGCACGAGGCCCGCAGCAGCACTAAACTCAAAACCCCTGGTTTTGCACAAAGCCCCGTGGACACCCAGTACCACCTGGTTCCAGATGCTGCCATCAGAGAGGAAAGAGCCAGAAAGGCCTGGGGTCTCTGGGCTCACCCAAGACCACTGTCTTGTATTCTGCCTGGATGTCCCTTCCCTCTTCTGTGACTGTTTGCACCTACTTGATCCCCCCTTCAGGATCAGACTAGAAGGCAAAGCAGAGGCCTGCACTTTTAGTTGTTAGTCCCCTGAGGTAACACTTTTCTGCACACACAACTCCGCTACTCACTCATACAGCAACACAAGTTAGCAAAGTGATAACGAGGCTGGCCAGGCCCTCGGCTCTCCCAGCGGTCAGATCTCAGCCTAAAGGTCACCGTCTCAGAGAGGGCTTTCCTGACCACGGCTTCTGAGGAGCTCCCTCCCCAGCTCCATTTACAAGCACCTCAGACTGTTTGTTTCCTCCACTCCCCATAGAACAACATGATTCTATTTATGTGCTACTCTGGCTCTCTTCCCAGCTAGGATTTAGGGTGCAGAGGGGGAGGCACCTGGTCTGTTCTGATCACCTCTGTATCTCTTGCACCTGGCACTGAGTAGGCATTCAGGTATTTTTTAACTAAATAATGGAGTCCTAGAAAGACGGTGCTCTCCCTCCAGATGTGTCTTACTAAATAATAGCCTGAAACTAGATTGGGGGGAAATGTTGCTAATTGTTGAAGCTGAGTGTTGGGCACCTGGGAGTTTATTTTACTAGTCTGGTGTGTGCACACGCGTGTGTGTGTGTGTGTGAGAGAGAGAACATTTCGATAATAAAAAGTTAAAAGCGAAGTGGTTCATCCCTGTTATTTAAAAAAGCAGAGCAAGCCTGAACAGCTAACCTAAATGAGGACTCCCAGCTAAGTCTCTCTCCTCTGGGGAAAAAGGAAGGCCCGCCATGGCCGCCATAGTCCTGTCCCAAAGCCAGTAAAACTGGACGTGCCTCTGAGGGAGAAAATCAGTATGAGCGAAATGATTCTCAGCGTTTCTGATTACTGCCATGAGAGTACTGTGGAGCAATTACATTAACAAGGTACTCTCACTTACATTTTGTTGGGACAACGTGTGAAGTATTATTATCCCTATGCTTATTATTTTATTATTTATCGCAGTCAAAGCCTAATCCAAATGCTTTGGAATAAGACAGCAATAAGATTCAGACCCTAACACTTGCAAACTGAATTTCCATTTCCTCCTCTGGAAAGGACCACCACCTCCCCATCTCATGGGATTTATAGGGAAACATAAATAGCAGGAGGGCTGTTTATGCCATTCCAGACACATGGTAGACACTGAATGCTAGCTCACTCACTCCTGGACAGCGAGGGCTCTGTCTTATCTTTTATAACCCCATGCAGTACCTAGGTGCCTAATTATTTGCTAAATTCTTTTTTTTAAGATTTATTTGAGAGAGAGAGCATTAGCGGTGGGGAGGGGCGAAGGGAGAGGATGAAGCAGACTCCCCGTCTGAGCAGGGAGCCCCAGGCAGGGTTCGATGCAAGGACCCCAGGCTCAGAGGCAGACGCTTATCCAACTGAGCCACCCAGGTGCCCCATTTGCTAAATTTTAGAGACAGCACAAAAGGTCAATACAGACGATAAATGGCAGAACGGATTCTTAAATCAACACTTTCCAATCAAGCAAACTGCTTTGCAAAATGCTTTCTACAACACCAGGCTGCCTGGGGGCGGGGGGGTGGACGGGGGGGCTGGGAAATATACCTCTTTTTCATCCCATTGACAGAAGTTTTGCAATAAACTTGGACCTTCTTATTAATTCAATGTAAGCAAATAAAATGTTTTATTTTGCTCTTCAGAAGCTTCCTCCTACTCTTTTCTCATTTCCTCATTTAAGAAGCCTTGTTCTGGGAAGTGCTGCCTAACCTCACAGGAGAGATCCATTTTTGATATTTGGTAATTTTTTTAAAAATTAAGTGTAGTGGGACGCCTGGGTGGCTCAGTCGGTTAAGCGTCTGCCTTCAGCTCAGGTCATGATCCCAGGGTCCTGGGATCGAGTCCCGCATCGGGCTCCCTGCTCCGCGGGGAGCCTGCTTCTCCCTCTGCCTCTGCCTCTCTCTCTTTCTCTCATGAATAAATAAATAAAATCTTTAAAAAAAAAAAAATTAAGTGTAGTTACAAAGTCATATAGCACTCAAACTTTAGTCTAGACACTCCGAGCCTCTGGTAACTGGCCAGTGCTAGCTCTCTGAGCCTCCACAACCAGGGAACAGGCCTCTGTGACCTCGTCGAGTATTTTCCAACCATCATAACAAAAGTATTTGAAGCCCGAGATGAAAGGGTATGATCAAAGAGGCCAAAGGTATAGGCTGCAAAGAGAAGAAAACACAAGAGATGGTTTCCACGTGATAGGGGACAGGAAATGTGTGGGCAGGAGGTGCTCCAGGCTGGGCTTCCCACCACTGCAGAGAATGGTGGGGAACAGACTATGTACAGTGGTCGTGGCAAATGGCTTCCGGCCCCACAAAAAAGCACAGAAAATAAAAATAAACCCACCTCATAAAAGATGTTGAGCTAGAGGCAGCAGGAAATGCTGCTACTCTGTATACCTTAGTACTCAAAATCCACTCGTTGGACATGCTGTACTGAGCACCCATGTGGAAGGTCCATGGAGAGGCATCGTCACAACACAGCTGGTGGGTATTAAGAAAGGTCCAGAAATAGGAAGAGGCATCTAATGAACAGATTACCTATTCTGGTTCAGTGCCTCTCATCTACCATGTCTTTAGTTGCTTCAGCTAAAAAAAAAAAAAAACACTAAAGAATCAGAAACTCAATTAGGGGAGTGGAGTAGGGGGTAATAACATTCTTTTAAGCTTGAAGGAATAGTTCCACAGCTATTTCTTCTGGATATACAGAGTTGAGAACCACTGAGCAAGTCAACAGCAGCCTAAAAACTAATGAGTCACTTGTAATGAGCTTTTAACTAAATTTAAACTCAAAACTCCAAAAGCATTCTATAGGCTTTTTGCCCTACACAAATAGTGAAAACACACATCAAAGATGAGTGTTTCCCTTCGATGGTCATTGGCTTGAGTAAATTATCTCTGAGGCAATAGATAATCCGATAAATGGGAACTTGCTATCTGCCCCACATATCTCAAGATCATTGAAAGACATTAACAAAACCTGTACACTAAAGGCTCTGAAAATTATAATGTCTTCCTTGATAAGATTCTTTTTTTAAGATTTATTTGAGTGAGAGAGTGGGGGAGGGGCAGAGGGAGAGGGATAGGGAGAATGCCAAGTAGACCCCCCCACCCCCACTGAGCACAGAGCCTGAATGCAGGGATTGATCCCATAACCCTGAGATCATGGCCTCAGGGGAAACCCAGAGTCAGATGCTCAACTGAGAGCCACCCAGGCGCCCCTTCCTTGATAAAATTCTTGTTCCCAGTTTACAATCCAGCCTCAAAGTTCACTTTTTAATTCAAAATACGTTTATCAATCTAGATCAAAAATAATCTAGACACCTCCTGATAAAGCTATTATCTGTATATGATTTAAAGCAAATTACATTGCTCAATCATCATAATTTTCGTGAACTAGAATTCCTAAGAATTATGAGATACACCAAAATTTGAGAACCATTGCTCTAGCTCAGTGCTTCTCAAACTTTAATATGCACATGAATCACATGGGACCATGTTAAAGATTCTGCCTCCACAGGGTCTGGGGTGGGGCTTGAGGGCCTCCTTCTCAACGAAGACCCTAGGTGATCCTGCTCATCGGTGAACTCCACTTTGAGTAGCCAGAATCCAGAGCAGGGCTCCTCTAGTCTGGCTGCACATGAGAACCAGCTGGGTAGCTATACAAAGTACAGATGCCACCCTCAGAGATAATGGGTCTGGGATGTGACCTGGGCATTGAGAGCTCACTTTTAAGTTCCCCAAGCGATTTTAATGTGCAGCCAAGTTAGAGAACCTCTAGAGCACAACTCATCATCTCAGCAGTCAGCTAAATTTAAATAGTGGAATTCTCAGCATAACTTAGGTCCTATATATAGCACCCAAGATGGAAACAGGGTTGCTAGCACGATACATATAAACATGCCTAGACTTCAGCCAGCAGATCCACTGCCCTACACAAGCTGTGTCGGGACTTCTGATCTTCAGTTTCTTCCCACATCTAATGAGGATTAGAACCCCCGAGACAGTTGCAAGAACAAAAGGAGAGAATATTTGTGCAAGTGGTTTGGAGAGGACTATTTCCTATCAACAAACATATATACAACCCTCACTTTTTGCACTCAGCTGACACTGCATATTACATATTTCACTTTTCACCATGAAAGCAAGTTGAAACAGATGTAAATGTGCAAGCACCCGCTCAGTTCAATTTCTAACAAAGTGCTTAATGATGCAGTTCCAGGAATGCATTGTGTCGTAAGCACAGAACCACCTGTAACGAGTGAAGGATTAGTAAAGGATTACCAGCCTCAGGGAAAAGACAAAGGACTGTCATTTCCCGGGGTTGTCAGCACTGCTTTTTGTCATTAACTTCAGATACACTTAATGAAAACAGGGAAGTAGATTCACAGTTGCAAGTTATCAGCTCCTAAAGAGCTTTGCAGAGGGACTGAAGGGAAAGAAGGATTTTAATACCAATAAAGAAATTAAAAAAAAAAAAAGAGCCAGAGGCACAGGAAGGAGCGGCATGGAGTATTTTAATTTGGAAGGCAAAAAGGTTACACTTAATGGGAAGCAGAGGTCATGGTAATAAATGCTCATTACAAAGCTGCTCTAACACAGAAGCAAGGGAGCTTCTCTGGGCTCTCCACCTACATTCCAAATCAGAATCGGTAACTATAAATCTGAAGAAAATCCACGTGTCCAAGTTGCCATCTCAAAAGCTCTCAAGCAGAGGAAATCAAAAAGTGAACCTAAAAGAAAGAAGCAGAAAGGTAAGAGAGACATTCAAGGTTTTTAAAAATGTCTTAAACGATACTACAAGACAGGGCCCCAAATCCTTCAATCTAAATTCTGAACCCACAAAGATAATTATGGGGTTCCCAAATTCCAAACAGTATTTAAGCCAGCTAGAACAACCAGATTAAAGCAAATATTTTTCACAGAACATTTTAAAGGTATCCATAAAAATGAATGTTCCAATCTGAATCCCAAGCACACCAAGGCAAAACTTACTAGGAGTTGCAGGCGTAGGTTCTAACTCCAGCTCTGCAGTTAATAAGGTGCACGACTGGGGTGCCTGGGTGGCTCAGTGGTTAAGCGTCTGCCTTCGGCTCAGTTCATGATCCCGGGGTCCTGGGATCGGGCTCCCTGCTCAGCGGGAAGCCTGCTTCTCCCTCTCCCACCCCCTCTGCTTGTGTTCCCACCTTATCTGTGTACTGGTTCTGGTGACCTGCAGATTCTAGCATCAGAGCTGTGTCTCTCTGTGTCAAATAAATAAATAAAATCTTCAAAAAAAAAAAAAAATAAGGTGCACGACTTTATACAAGTCACTCTGACCTCTCTAGCTCACAAACTCTTGGGAGGTGAGGGGGCTGCAACTTAGCCTAAAGGGCTTTTCTGGATGGAGAAAGCATACAAAGCACTAAATTTCAGTTGGAGAATAGGGGGTAAAAGGAAGAATTCAAGAGAGAAAAATTCCCAATCTCAGATTTAACCAAGGACCAAAATAGAAGAAATAATTTCATTTTAATTGAACGATAGGTTATTTTTGGCAAGAAGGTGGAGGATAACTCTAGGAGAAGCAGCCACGTTGCTGCAGGCTGCACAAGATTGCGATCTGTACACTGTGAGACAGAGCCCTCCCCAGCAAACTCAGACTTCCTTTCCAGTCCCTCCACGAGAGCGGCCCGCCTAGTGCCCGGCAAGATGGGTGCGGCCAGAAAGTGACCCTTAGCCTTAGGGGCTCCAATATTTCTGGCCATCAGCAGCCATTTTTCCTGCACTGTGCCATTAAAATACTGCAATCTTCTCTGGGTGTCATGACTTGAAAAAGATTGGAAAACACTACCTTTCAGAAGAGCTGGGCTACCCTGGCAGGTTATAAGGCACCACACCTTATCTGTGTACTGGTTCTGGTGACCTGCAGATTCTAGCATCAGAGCTTAAAGGAAAGATCTTATTAGACTTCTAGCCAGAGTGCTTTTATTTCACTAACAATGGTACTTAGAGAAATGATATAAAACTGTAGAAACATTCCTACATCAGAATTGTGAGAAAAAGAAAGAGCAAAAAACAGGGAACAAAAAGCATTCGCAGGCCAACCAAGAACAAACAGGCCTATTAAAACTCACCTATTCACTCCATCAAATTTTTTTTTTTTAAGATTGTGGTTTTTTTTTTTAAAATAAGTAATCTCTACACCCAACATGGGGCTCAAACTCACAACCCAGAGATCAAGAGTTGCATACTCCATGGACTGAGCCAGCCAGGTGCCCTACTCCATCACATTTCTTAAAGCAAACTCTCTGGCTACAGACTATGAACTATGAATGCATCATTTCTAATGGCCAAGGTGAAAGCAGACTAGAGCATAGGGCCATTTCAGTGAGGAGCCTTGACACAGAATTATAAAAGAAATCCTAGTTTAGTACAAAAGTCAAGTTCTGAGCTTCTCTGGTATTAAAACAGTTAAACAAATCCAAGATACTGCGGCTGGTCCATTTAGAAGGCAAAAATGACTCATGAGATTAAATCTCTTTGATAATGGTTTTCAGAAAATTCTACCTAACAAAGATGTGCTCCCTTCTTTTAAGACAAAAGTACATTTACCAGATACTATTCTAAAAGCAGAGGATCTAGGATTCTTTGAAATGTTAACTCAACAAAATTGGACTATGCAACAGCTCAGAAGAATGCTTCAACTGCTAACCAGGGAATAAAGGTTTCAGGAAACTAATAAAACTGCTTCCCATGAGATCGAGACATGCAAAATGGAAGAACCTACTGAGAAAAGTTCACATGACTTCGTCAGTCTATTTCACCCATGCAGAAAAGACTGTGCCATCTGATCAGTCTGTTCTCATCATCTTAAAAGAAAGCCAGGCACAACACAAAGTTAAAAATAATTATTCTCTGTATAGATACAAAAGATAATGCCAGACAGGGTCATTTCTATTTGGGATCTGTATTCTCCAGCAATGTCTCTATTCAGACACCAGCGCTGGGCAGATACACTCAAATACTGATTTTCCTTCAAACCCATTTCATCCTGGATATCCTGGTCACCCAATTAATGATGGAATTAGAGAAAATGTGGTCAAGACCATTCTGCAGAAATTCTAGGTTCCGAGCTCAATCTGAATCACAATTTCAGAAGGCACAAATCATGTGTTTCTAAAGACGGCAGGAGCTTTGCAGATCAACTGGTCTGATCCTCTCTTTTTATAGATGAGGAAGCGATAACCTGATAGTTTAACAGATCTGTCCAGGGCTGTGCTAACACTGAAGCCACCAGCCATACGTGGCTATTGAAACTTAGTTAAAATTAAATAAAATTAAAAATTCAGTGCCTCAGTTGGTAGAGTATTTGACTTTTTTTTTTTTTGAGCACGCAACTCTTGATCTCAGGGTTGTAAATTCGAACCCCACGCTGAATGTAGAGATTACTTAAAAATAAAATCTTTTTATAAACAAAAAAAAACAAAACCACGTGACTAGTAGCTACCATACTGGATGGCGCAGACTTAGAACACTTCCACATTGCAGAGTTCTACTGGAGAGCACTGAGCCTAATGTCATCCTCTCTGGATAAAGTCAGATCTCCTGATCTACATTCTCTTGCATGTCTTCTGAACCCAAGATGACCGACTTTGCAGACACATCTTTTTTTTTAAATTTATGAATGTATGTATGTATGTATGTATGTATGTAATCTCTATACCCAATGTGGGGCTCGAACTCATGACCCTGAGATCAAGAGCTGCACACTCTTCCAACTGAGTCAGCCAGGTGCCCCACAGAAACATTTTAGATAGCCTACCTTCATCTTTTCTTATCATCTCTCCTAAGTTTTTCCCATTGAGAAAAGATAAGTTTAATATTTTTAATGAAAACCTTTTAACAAGAAGATGTAGATATTCATCATCCAAAAGTCTCTGAATGTAATAAAGGAGAAGGAATATAAAAGTTTAGAGTCAAAATGTCTGTTATCAAGTTCCCACTCGGTCACTTATTAGCTCTAAAGCCTGGACAAGTTAATCTAAATTTCACTAGGGTTGAGAAGCCTGGCTGGCTCAGTCGGTGAAGCATGGGACTCTTGACCCTGGGGTCATGAGTTCGAGCCTCACATTGGATATAGATTTTACTTTTACTTTTTAAAAATGTAAATTTCAGGGGCGCCTAGGTGGCTCAGTGGGTTAAGCATCTGCCTTCAGCTCAGGTCATGATCCCAGGGTCCTGGGATCGAGCCCCACATTGGGCTCCCTGCTCAGCAGGGAGCCTGCTTCTCCCTCTCCCACTCCCGCTCCCCCTGCTTGTACACTCTCTGTCAAATAAACAAACAAAATCTTTAAACAAATAAATGTAAATTTCACCAAGGTTTTGTGGGGCTTTTTTTTAAGACTTATTTATTTATTTGAGAGAGCGAGCACGCAAGCAAGGCAGGGAAGGGCAGGAGGAGAGGGAGAGAGAAGCTTTAACCTACTCCACACTGAGCATGGAACCCAATGCGGGGCTCAATCCCACAACCCTGAGATCAGGACCTGAGCCAAAACTAAGAGTTGACACTTAACCGACTGCACCACCCAGGCACCCCTTCACCAAGGGTTAATCACCTCATGTGTAAAATGGGAATACTACTATTCAACTACCTCCATCATAGGGTGGACCATGAGGATCACATGGGTTAATGTTTCTAAGAGTGTATGTGAGTCTCACAAGCCTAATAATGTGATAACTATAAAACATTTTATAAATGTTATCTAATTTTGTAAAAGGTCTTACACATTGTGCATTTTGTTATATACAGCCACACTAACTTTCCACCTCCTGTGAATGGATGATGGAAATCTGGTAATATGGATAAAAAGCAACAACTGATGAAAAAAAAAAAAAGCAAAGTTCAACTGATGATCCACACAAATGGCACGAATCACCTGAAATACAATGAGAACTATCATGAATTCTAATAATCACAGGCTGTAGCAGCTGTAAGAGACTGATGAATATCCAGGCCAATTCCCTCATTGTGCAGACAGGGAAACTGGGCCTCAGAAACAAGCTTATGTGTCCAATCAACTAGTTAACAGAGCAAAATCTACAATGCAGGTCTTCCAACTTCTAGTCTCATGCTTATGCCCCACCCTACAGCCCTTCATACGAATTTTTTCCTTGGCTTCTTTCTTCCACAGTATTTCCCATGTCTTAGCATCCATATAACTAATGATTTAGCTATTTTTATAGCATTTTCTTAGAGTTGAAATTATTTATTCATACACTCATTCAACAAACATGCACAGTGACTGTTAGCCCTGTGCGAAGCCTTCAGGAAATTCAAGAGTTCAGTGGGAGAGACAGGAAAGCGAATGAACAGTTTCATAACTCTTGGTTAAGTGCAGCATTAGCGGTGTACACAGTGGGCCCCAGAAGAGAATCCTATACGACTTGGGGGCAGGGATGACACGGAGAAGGAATCATCCAAGCTGCAAGGACAGAGAAATAACGCAAGGAATTAGGGCAGTAATGAACTTCATAAACACAATACTTATTTTTTTTATGGGTAGCTTTAAACAGACCAAATACAAAATAGAGCTCAATCACTAATTAGTCATTAATTAGTGGCTTTTTAGTAAATAAAATAAGCAGATTCAGGGTTTTAAGAATAATGGCTAAAGAATTCATCTCCTCCAACTGGAGAAAAAGGGGGTTGGGAAAAAAAAGATCATACTATGTGCTTAGCTCAAAATACGTTCCTCAAATTTAAAATAGTTCCCTTTCTGGGAACTTACTTGGTGGCTAGATCTAATTCAATATAAGATGAAATGTCAAAGAGAAAGTGGAATAAGAACTAAACAGCTCCCCCCAAACAAAAAATTAAAGATTATTACCAGTGGAAGTCATGCTGGGAGCAAAAACGGGCCTAGAATGAACTAAAAAAAGGAGCTCTCGAACTGAGAAGGTAAGAAAAAGAAACAAAGGGAAAATCTGTGGGTCTCCATGCACTTGAGGTCTTCCCTGGGTAACAAAATCCCTAAACCACTTTAGGATTGCATGACCTTTTGTGCCTTAACTCCACACTGCCCACCTCTGGTCAGAATGTAAAGCAACCCCCACCCAGCATCTAAGCCCACTTGGACCTCTGCTGCCCTCATGTGACTAGAAATAAACTAGATTTTATCACAAAGCTATCAGTGGTTTCCCCCCCACAACTCAACTTTTCTTTTGCTTCGTAGTACATTCTCAGCATTTGAAACGTACAACCCCACTAGGTGGCAGTAGAGCCTAAAGAATAATATTTAGATTCCCTTCCAGAGGTAATTTTCTAGGACACTACACACTAGTACCCCCGTATTCATAGTTAAAGTTACTGCAGTCTATCACAGGAGAAGCAGATGACCCACCTTCTGACATACTGTCAGGTAAACGTAGCCAAATGCTAGGTCACAGCGCCTACATCATTCCCCTCGTTTTATCTCATCATGTAGGCATTTTCTCATCTCACATCATCACAAGACGGGTGAACACAGGACAGTAAGAGATTCTGATCACACATTCACAAAACTTTAATTCCAGTATATTATTACAATTATTCTATTTTGTTAGTAGTTACTGTTATTAATCTCTTCCTGTGCCTGACAAACTGAACTTTATCACAAGTATATATATATATATATATATATATATATATAAAAATATA